AGAGAGAGAGTACCAAATATCCGACCAAATTCCGATCAACTCCCAACCCTCAGAAACCAGTAGTTTCAAATTCAAATTTCCATCTCACTGGTTCTGAATCCTAATCCCAAATCTGGAAGATGGAGAAGGAACTGGCGGTACCAACTGATCAAGAAGAGACGGAAGCTGAAGCTCTGGAGCTTGTTCTTTTTCAAGTGCCTGAATGTTACGTATACTTGGTAAGATACATACATATATACATACATAGATACATCGTTTGTCCAAATCCTTGTGTTTTCCTAAATTTTTTGAGTAATTCTGTTAATTGGTATCTTGGGAATGCATAATCCAACTAGATTTCTTGATGAACATTGATGCATGTATTAGTTGAATGAATGAATTTTATAGGCTGGCAAATTGCAAATGTTGGTTAATTCCTGAATAAAATGTAAATTATATATATTTTTTAATTTTTGTTGATTTGAGTGCAAAATTAGGGTAATGGAGGAATAGATTGAATATTTTTCATAGTTCAAGTGTTGACTTCAGTTAGTAACCACTTAGTGCTTGATTTCGATATGTCATCGAATACAAAATCATGATTCTTGATTTTGAGTTTACAAGTAATCATAAGGAATCGATAATGTGAGAAATGTTTGGTTACTCTTGTTCGGGGTTCTTGAAGTTACCTGTGGTGTTAAACTATTTTGTAATGTTTTGCAGATACCGCCAAGGAAAAGTGCAGCTTCATACAAGTTTTGCTCAACTCATGGAATAGAAAATAGGATATTCATTTGACAGTTTATGTATGATTGATCTGATACGATGCCATCTGTTTTCAAGGTTGATATGATGCATTTGTAATTTTGATGCTTCCATCCACACATCGATCAGTAACATTGGAATGATCTTAAAATTAGGGTAGATTGTATGAGGTTTTGTATGGGCTATTTTGAGAATAAGTTTTCCGAGGTTGAGTTAGATTGACGCATAAGCAAGGAATCAACAAGGAGGCAAACATACAGAGATGAGTTTTATTAGTACTGATATTACATGCTTCTTAATCTTAGATCGAACAAACAAAAAGAAGAGTGCTCTATCGATTGGCATTGATTACTTCCTGAACTCTGTTTTGCATGTGTTGGAGATGAATTTTAAGTCTCTGAAGTGTATTTCAGGGCGGATGAATGGGATGTAAACAAATGGGTATGGGACGGGATATTGAAAGTAATCAGCAAAGGAGAAGAGTGCATTATCAGACTTGAAGATAAGAAAACGAGTGAGGATATTTTAGTTTTTATAAGATGAAAGTTGTGTTATATGCCTTCCTTTTGTACCATGAGACATTTGTTATTTAAACTATTCTGTGATATGTCCTTGCAGATGAACTATATGCTCGGGCATTTTTGAGAAATGGAGAGCCTCATCCAGTGTAACCTGTAATTGATAGCAGCAGGCTTATCCTAATTCTCACTGAACTAGAGCATATCTTTATCAGACTCTTAATGTTAAAACATCATGCGACTACAATACTCACAAGAAAGATACCTTTACATTAAGTTTATTGAATCGCAGAATCTTAATAAATTTTTTACTGTTATATAGAGGGTGACAAAAAAATGTTTTTTATTCTACAGATATTTCGTTCTACGTGTAGAGGAGAACATTGGTGAGTTTTTATTGTTGTAATCTTTAATGTTTTAGTGAATCCTGTAACCTAAAGTTGGAACAATTCAAAGAGTGTTTTTTAGTTTGTATTTCCATCTGTTATCGACTCCTAAGGTAGATGTTCCCCCCGCCCATTTTACTGTTGCACATTGACCTATGATTCATATATAGAAGGTATTGAGTGAAAAATTGCTATAGATCAAGAGAAACCACGGAAATTCATCCTCTGATGCATATCCATTCTAGGCATGAAAGCTCATGCATTACTGCGTGCATAACTTTTAAAATTTCAAATAGATGCCTGGTAGTGGGAGAGGGGCTAATATTTACAAGCCTCCCATTTTCCCTTAGTGGCTTGGACAAGAGTAGACCAGAACATTGAAGTTAATTAGTGCTATCATAACAAAATCATAGTCCAGGAAGTTGACCAAGAATTGTGGCTCGTATCTAAGTATAGTGCCACTTCTTTTGTTTCACTTTATTTTTCTTATCTCTTGTATTCCTGTTTTCCCAAAGTTTTGTACCAGACAGCGATGCAATTTCGGGCTTCTGAGTTATATTTTTATTTCCAGTGATTTGTTCATGTTTGATCCTCATTACTTTGAAATTTATGCAGATGGCCGGCTTCGGCATGCTTTCATTGGCATTGGATTTTGAGAAAGAACAGAAGCTTATGATTTCCAAGCGGCCTTGCATGATCACATGAAGTATGTCCTATATGTATAGTTACAATTTTGCTTGTTCTTCATTTTCTACTATAAAATGTTTAGAAGCTTGGGATTTGATTTTTTAATGCATGCATATCAGAGGATGAATTTCCGTCTATCAAGCTCATATACCTTTCTAAATTGTTTTGAAGATATCTGGACAAAAAGAAAACTGCAGAAGAGATGGAACAAAAATTTCGGCAAACTTCCTTAGTTGATTACAGCTTAAAAGAGGGGGAGACTATTGTACTACAATTAAAGAACGTTAGTGTTCTGCGTCGCATTTTCTTTCAAAATGTGTGCTTTTACTTATGCTACTTACTGGAGCATGCTGATTGAATTTCTTTTCGATGTCAACAAAAAACTGCCGAAATCGTGAAGTCCAAGGTTTCTGAGAACAACTCACCAGATAAAAAGGCTAACCAAAAAGAACCCTTGATTTGTATCAGACCACCACCTCCTCCTCCGGCACCACTTTCGCCTTCTGCTACTGTTGACAAGTCTTCCTCAAACTTGCCTCCAAATCTCAATCTCGAGGGAACTTCTAAGCACGAGGCCTCGGAATCAACGGAACATGAGTCGAAAGAAACAAGCCCTTCTGGGAATGAAAGCACTCAAGATATACCAAATGACGACTTTGGGGATTTTCAGGCAGCTGTTTAATATGAATTTATAGAATCTGATGTGAGATATTAAACGCCAGAACATGTCTTCTGCTTTTTGATGCAATGGGGTTGTGACGGTTTAGATTTTGTTTGAAAAATATTTGTTTGATCTGGTGTATATCTATAAATTAACTAAAGTGAAGTTACTGAGAAAGCAAAATTTGCAAATTATAAAGAGGGGAAATTGAATTGTTTTTGGTCTTTTGGTATAATTTTTATTACCATTTAATGTTCAGACATTTCTTGATGTTAGAGAAGGCATCTACTTGAACAAAAAAGAATTCAACCATCAACCGTCATAATATGTTGGTCTTAAAATGGTCTCCTTAGCATTTTCTTTTTCCACATGTGTCCCATCGGTGATGTAAAGCGTTACCATGATAAAATTTTAACAGAATAGCATTATTAGTAGCATCTAATGACAGTCTCATCTGAGATAAGGGTTTTTATTTTTTATTTTTTGGTTAAATGATAAATTTATTAGGTTAGATGTTAGATTAAAGAGCTGACAGGGTTCGAAAGCAAGTCGTGATGTAAGGGCAACACTCATTTTCCACCACAGTGGTAAGGACCCACTTGCTCATCTGAGAGAAGGTTCACCGAGTTTAGTTATTTACCACAAAGAAAAGACCAACTTGCTCGTTGCTCATTTGAGAGAAGGTTCACTTTGTTTAGTTATTTACCCACAAAGAAAGAAAGTTGAGTTAATTAAAGATAAAAATTTAGCCCAACCATGCATTCATTTAGTTTTATCAAATTTTCTGAATACTTAACAGTTAGTTATTTAAAAATATTGAAATGATAAATATCACTCGTCTTTTATTTTGAAGTACATGATGAGTAGAGCACACAAAGACTATGATGAATTTTTAAATGTGTAAAGTCAAATACAATTAATGAATTTGCTGATGTGAAATCTAGTCAATGGGTTTTATTTGAGAAAAAAACTTATGACGGGTTATCCAGCAGAGGTTGAAGTAAAGAGTCTGAACAGGACAACGCCACGGAGTTGCACCCGTTTACTGCAGCTTGTTGATTTTGCAGCTCCCATGCTTTCCTTTCTTGAACTCTACTAGTACTTTGATTGATTGGATTGGAAGCAAGAAATTCCTTAACAACAGGATTCAAGTAAGATGGACATGTCAAGGATTTAATACGCGAAACCAACTCCCGCGTTTCTTTCCTTGCTTGGCTCCCCCGCTGGATAACTTGGCAACCAATATAACAGGAAACGTTCTTTCATTGACACGTGCCAAGAGTACACACTATCATTCACTAACAATCAAATATTTGAAAAGGAATGAGGATGATTTCCGTTCCCGCATTTACTAACACCTAAGTAATGAAAAAGTGAATGGATAATAAATTTTGAGCATCTTGCACATTCTCAGACCTAAAGAAAAAAAAATCAAGATATAAAATTATTATGGGATCTCATTCATTCTCATGACAAGTAAACATGCTTTAAATTGCAAATCTTTTAAGCTTATATAAGATGGTAAGACTAGCATTATTTTTTCAAATACGTCGTTGACGATTTGTTTGGGCTTGTTCCACAAAGTATTCTTGTGATCCGAACAATTTATTTTGCAAGTCATCATTCATAGATCATTTTTGTAAAGATTTACTCCAATCAATAATCATTTAGCTCTTTAGTTAATATTGTGAACATTTCATTGTTTATTAATAACATTGTGTTCGTCTATCTACGAGACCATAATTAAATATCTAAACAACTTCCAAATTTAGTAATTTTTGGTAAAGTTGATATTTTAGGTTTTTTGATTAATTAATAAATAAGTGATTTGCTATGTATTAAGTTATTAATTAGCTAGTGATTAGATCCTATACGAATGTAAGAACATGGCAAATATGTGAAAACAAAATTATCAGCAAGACTGAGATTTTAATAAATATTCCACTAAAAAAAATTAAATTGGACACGTGGAGGGTAGAAGAATCCCCCAACGAAATAATTGTGTCTTTACGTTTCTTGTACCTCTCTCCTTCCGTATTATATTTTAGCTTCCAACGGGGGTTTATGCATTAATCCAAGACTCTTCTCAGAGATTTTGGGTTTCTGTTCTTCTCTTCTGGGTTTCCGTTCTTCTGCTCTCACAATTCACAGCAACAAGTAAGTTCTCAATCCTCAATTTTCATCACGATCATCAAACTTTGCTGCTTCTGATCATGATTACAATCCACAAGCAAGCTCTCTTTGGTTACCTGGAAAATGGAAATTCATATGAAGTAGCTATTTTTTCAAATCAATTTTGTGCTTTCTGCGTTGTGAGAGAGAAATTGTAATTTAATTGGAGGGTTCTATGTGGGTTTCCGTTGATTGCAGATGGGTTGTTTTCCTTTTCAAGTTAAGGATCGTTTATGCTGTTGCTTCCTGAAATAAATAGGTTTTGTTTTATATTAAAATATATTTGATCATTTGTTTGGGGGTCTCTCAAACTCTGGGGCATTTGTTTTCCTTTTGGAAAAATTGGAAGTAACAATAGGATGATGAGACTTGCAATCATGTTATGATAGGGGTTCCAATCAATAATATTTCAACCTCTGTTTCACTAAACTAAATTGTACCGAATACCCGTCAAACCTTATCCTGTGGTGCTTGATGATAATCCTCTTTTGAGGTGATATACAGTGTACAATTGGTCACTGGATAAAGTTACCGTTCAATCAGTTTCCTTGTTTGTCGGATTTATTTGGTTCGCGGGGTGAAACTATAACATGGTTCTTATGTAGAACACTCACAGTTTTTATGGAAACATGGTGTAATTCTGCTGAACTTTATGTGTTCTTACAACTTAGTGTCATTTTGAGGGATGGAAGATCTCAACGTTCTATGGGGTTCTTCTTCCTAAGAGCTATTTTTATGCATTCTTTGTGGGCTTCTAATAAATTTCATATGATTTCGTGCAGATAAATACCAATTTGATGTAGAAACTGAGTGGGGGAATTACAAAATACCAGTAGACATACAACGATTCTGTAAAGTTTAATATATGATCAGTATGGATGTGAAAGGTATAACCTGGGTTGGGGGTGTATACCAGAAATTTGAGACAATGTGCTTGGAGGTAGAAGAAGATATGTACCAGGTAAGCCCTTTGGCAGTCCTTTTATGTCTCTCGGACTCCTAAATTGAGGTCTCATCTACATAAAAGGAATGATGACCACAGACTGCTGGTCTGGAAGTGTTCATCATAAGTTTTCATCTATCCTTCCTGTTCCTCTTCATCCTCCCACTTTCAGTGCTTATAAAAATATTTTTGTCGTGTGTATTTTTCTTTGGAGTAATTTGTTTGAGATCACCAAAAAAATTCAGCACTAGGCGTGAGTCAATTAACATTTTAGTGCTTTTAGAGAGACGTCAATGAATAGAAAGTTTACCAAGTGGTGTTGACCTTAGTTGGAGAGGAAAATTGTTTTAAATGAACCTTAGCTGAAGAGGAAAATTTCTTCTGTTGACCTTGTGTTAAAAAAAGAAATGTCTATTAACCCATTCAGAAACATGAAATTGAACTAAACCAATTTTTTATATATTTATCTTCTACTGGGGTTTTCAATACACAATTATTTCTGTGCTTATTTGTATTAGTGTGGTCTATGCCAAATATGGTGTTTATGTGGTTCAGTGATTATATGAGATAGTGGTCATGTTAATTTTGTTCCGGAGTCCAGTTAATTTGTTTTGTTGATCATTCTTTTATTTGGAACAGGACACAGTCAAATTTGTTGAAAATCAGGTACAGACTGTTGGTGCAAGTGTTAAGAAGTTCTATGCAGATGTAATGCAAGATTTGGTTTGTGACTCTGCAATGGATCCAGAGGCTGTGCCTGCCTCTGGGGACCCTGTAGAAAATAATTTTCATGTTGATAGTTCTAAAAAATCAAGGGTTAGCAAGAAAGGAGAGCCGGTAAAAGTTGACGTTGAAAAAGTAAATGGGGATTCAGAGGTGATTACTGCAATGAATATGGATGTGGACCATAAATCATTGTTCCATGGACAGCACATGGATGAATATCGCATGCTATCCTCAGGGAATTGTGCAAGAGGAGCGTGCTTTGATGTATACTCAAGACAAGACCATGATAGGAGTAATTTTAATAATTCAAACTCGGTTGTCAAAGAAAACCCAATCAAGGACAGATTTCCCAGGGCAATAACTCCTGTTGAATCTGATTTGAGCAGGCACTCAACATCCTGCCGTGTAAATTTGGATGATACCCATGAAGTTTCGAGCGACCATAGAGATACACCTATAACCCCATCTATAACCGAAGGTGTAACGTGTAAGTTCACAAGGGAAAGTTGTGTGATTGCAAATGCAAGCCAATGTACAGCTGATGCTTCAGTTGACTGCCGAACATCTAATATGTTTGTTTTGGATGAATTGGAAGCAAAAGGGTGGAAGGAAATATTAGATTCATCCTTTGGTTGCTCATCAGTAGAAAGAAATGGTGGCTATTCTTTTTAACCCTATAAAAGTGTTTGTTTTGACCAGCCTTGCTACTTGTTCTCTTTCGATTTCCGGTTTGGCTGCTGCAGACAATTGTTTGAGCTATTCGTTTATTTCTTTGTTAGGATCCTCTCCAAGTGGACAAGCACACTGTGAAAAAAATGCTGACAAGGAAATTTCTTCGTCTCATCCTGGTAACACTGAGTACATCTCATTCAGATGCACAATAACCTCATATCAGTTTTTATATTGACAACTATTGACTCAGAAATGTCTATGCAGAGATAATAACTCTCAGAAAATAATGGAGAGATTTTTTTTTTTCAACTATGGACCATAATTGATTTACATTCATGTGGGGTCTAGAATTATACTAGTTCACGAAAAATTGCACCTTTTTTTATACATGTAGAGTTGTGTACTTGATGTGTTTACTGGTTCATGATAAATTGAATGTTATTTTGTGCTCCTAGTAGTAGTAGTAACCAATGACTAATTTCCCAGGAGGTTTGCATGACTCAACTGAGAGTAATACTGTTGTAGATGGAACGGAAACCATTCAACAATCTGAAAGGGCAAAGCTTGAGGAGACTTGTGTAATGGTGACTGGTGAGGATGTTCATTTTGTTCCTCATATGGAAGGCAAGCGTAGGCCTTACAAGGTTTTCTCTCTCCCCCTCTTCCTCTCCCTCTCCCTCTTCCTCTCTCTCCCCTGATTCTCTCTCACCCCCTATCTTCTACCACTTAATTGGCTTTAATTGGGACCCTTTTTCTAGAAAAAAATTCAGAATGCCTTGAGAATGAGGTCAGCAAGGAAGCAAGAGTATGAGCAGCTTGCATTATGGTATGGGGATGACGGGAAATCAAATGTAGAAAGTGGAGAACGTCTCGGGCATTCTCCGACTCTGGAGGAGACACAGAAATCACCAGCTCATGAATTTTGTGAATCTGAATGGGAGATTCTCTAGGTACCTTGTAAAAGCTTGTGTAAATAAACCGCCTCACTGCAGCCTCTCCTTGCTGATCATGGTGCCATTCAAAATTCCTAGCTTAGGATAAAATTTGTACCGAAGTGGGTAAAATGCCCAATTGTCTCATGCTCTAGTATCGAGTATATTAACAATTATGTAATGGCCATAAGATTAAGTACTTGGAATTTATATTACAATCGGCTCCGACCCAATAGGGTCCTACATTTATTGTCACCGTTGTTAATGAGTTGTTTACTATTATTGTCTATGGTTAGCTGTTGTTTGCTCTGCTATATGCTGTATCTTTTGTTCTTCGTGTGCTTTTCTTTTCCGACATGTCTTGGCAGCTGTTCAGGTTAAATAGTTAATGGCAGGTACTGTTTCTGTACATTTCGTCTTCTCTTATAACTCCCGTCTTCTCTTTGAAATTTCATTAAACCTTATGAAGAACGAAGTATGTTAAGTTTACTAACAGTCATGGCAGATCAAACAAGAGGTTAAGAACTAAGAATGACTTTGGAGGTGCCCAAGGCCAAAGATACATGCAGCCTATTCCAGGCATCTGGCAGGCCAGGTAAACACCAGTGGCTGCAATCAGCATAAGTCTCTGGTTTTCTATTTTGCAAAGCTAACAACTGCTTCCACTCCTTCGTTCCGTAAACCGCTGGATGCGCATCTCTTCCATGCTGAGATAGCCTTCTAATGTTCAGGTACGTCACCGGGCGCTGCATTGTTCTCTCAACGAATTTTATAAATTTCCCGGGAGATATTGTCTTGTTGGAATTGTCCAGGATGGGTTGGGTTTTGTTTTAACACCAATGCTTTCCCTTGTGCTCTGGTGAAATGCACCGGAAGAACTCTCTGGTTTTAGTCACATCCACATTTTGATCAACCCAACGTTCCCAGGTATTCATAAGCCATATCAAATGCTAATTCAATCTCCATATTCTCCACTGTTTTGCCATCATATTGAAACAAGTCCCACCTGAATGTCTAATTTCCATTAGACAAACTCCTTGAAAAATATTCATTTATTTTCTTTAGTAGATCACAATTGACTTACGTCTTGGTCTTCCCTTGCTGCACCCACACGGGACTGGTGTTGAATACCATAATGTCTGCACCCAACCACTTCATGGCTGAGGTTGTGACTCCGTCAAGCCTGAGAATTCTAGCACCATTATCTTGGTTCACTTTCTGCTGCATTAGAAATGTGCTCCAGTAGAACTAAACAGAAAAGTTGTATGCCTGCGGTTATAGAAGCAAGCAACACCTTCACAGTTAAAAAGTCAAGGTCCTGTTTTTTATTTTTATCTCCCCAGGATGTCGCTTATATATAAAGAAAATAGTTCAGTGACAGAAGATTAATCGTATAAATGAAAACTAAACCTACCTTAGCTGTGAAGACCTTGTAGATGCCACTTTTCACATCGACTAGGGTTTGAGAGGGAGGTAGAGCTGACTTGATCACTAAGAAACGGACACTGTGCCCCATCGTGCATAGGGCTTCCCTTTGGATCGTAAACCCATTTTCCATAAAAAATGTTGCACTTGTCTTCTTCGTTCATTTGTGTCACGCGTTCCTCGAAGTTTCCTTCTTGTAAGAACTGCATGTTTGCATCCGATTCATTGGCCGATATTGTTGATGTTATGTCTATGTTTCTAAGAGTTGTAGGTTTACAGTGTCGTGGCTGTGTTTGAGAAAGTATAAGCAGTCTGTCTATCATTGTTATTTTTGAGAAACCATAAGATACAAAGATGACATGGAAAATTTGACCTACAATAATTGGTACCAAACTCATCATAAATATATATCATTTTTGTTGTATTCATGTGAAATTGTGAATCAAACATGAGAACTTCAACTATTTGCGACACCCAAAAGCAAGCTTGTTACGAACATAATTTGAGCAACAAGTTAGTGACAAGATTATGGGGTAGTACCATCCACACTCATTTTTATTTCTCACACATCCTCTCAATTTTTGACCACAAATCGAATAAAATGAAAAAAAAATTAACAAGGGTGTGTGAGAGGTAAATATACGTATGAAAATAGTATCATCCTTAATATATTTGTAAGGATTGGTAACTTTAAGTTTTGGTTTTACCAATTTTTCGTTCGGACGACATTTCAATATAAACTTGATCGAAGAGAAGTATTCGGGAAAGCTAAGAAGCGCACTCCTCTTGCTTACGCTTCAATCTACACCAATACAGAAGGTAATCGAGCCGCATGGTCTGGGTCTGCATCTCCAATGCGAGTCCTTCCACAAAATTCTTGGTGTAGTCCAAAAACAAAACTATCAAAATCAACAAAGAATGAATGCCAGAAGTAGAATGAAGGTGTGCGAAACCAAGCACTTGGGTTCGACGTGGACCTTTTGCCCGCCTCCTTTGGTTCTGAATTCATGTCCTACTTTACCGGCGTTAGAACTGTTTTCTTGTTGGTCCTGGAGGGGTTGTTTATAGTTGTGAGGTTTGGCTACTCCTTTTTGTTTGCGGGTTTATTGGTGATAATTTTAAGTTTTGTTTTGGTTTTTATAATGTTGTCTGTATGTGGTTTAGCATTGTTTTATATTTGGGACTTTTGAAGGTTTGTGTACGGCACAATATAGGGGTGAACAATTATTATTTTTATGTGCAAAATTGTTGGTGTGGATTATCAGTTGCTTCTGATTTCAGGGTGGCTACAGCGAGTCATCCATCACCCAAATTTTTAGGGTTTTCTCTATTAGCCCCTTTTGTGCTTCTACTGTTTGAGCCTTATGGAGTATTTGTTTTTGGGGTGAAATCGTTGTATGTATTTTGTTTTATGTACTTTTATAATTGTTGCAGAGAAAAACATTTACTTATGCTTTGTTTACACTTTCTGTATGTTGGTTCTTCTTAGGGCTATGTACGATGTAATCTGTCTGTTTGGAATTTATTTTATAAATGTTTTTTTACCTTCTAACAGGGGAAAAAAAAAACCTAAAGAATCTAAAAATCAAAAGGGTTAAAATAAGATAACTTTAACGAAAAACTCCTGGTACTGTTCACTTTAATAAAAAAAACCACATTTTTACACTAAAAAGTCAATTATAAAACTATTCACTTTAACTTTTATTTTGTCCTTATCGTTAAAACTCAAAGTTTTCAAGTCATGATTAGCCGAGTATAGATTGAGGGGTGATATCTGTAAAGTGTAAAACTGCGAATTGGGAATTGCACATTTTTTGTAGTGATTGGAATTGGGAATTGGCATTTAGCACGTTCCATTTGGAACTTTCGCTGTTTAACTCCCCTTACTAAACTGCCGACTTCTTCACGGGAACTGCCAACTACATGCTTCTTCCTATGTAATCTTTTTTCTCCATTTGTTTTTTAAATGGTTTTGTAATGGGTGATTTTTAACCAGTTTTTCCTCATTTTCTTCCTTTTTTTGGATTTTTTTTAGTGAAGATAGCAAAGGGTGTTTGAGGTATTATATGAATTTTCAACCGTAAAGCCTTCTGACTTAGCTTAATGCAGTCCCTAAATATGGGCTGTTTTTATTTTGGGAATTGTTATTGGCACTCCAAAAATCTTGTTTTGTACTTCAAACTTTCTATAATTAGAAATAAAAATACAATTATGAGGAGTATAAAATGAAATTTTAAAAATGTTAATAACAATTTCTTTTATTTTATCTAATATGTAATCTAGTCCTTCAATGTATAGCCCAATGTTTGGCTCATTGGATTGGTGAAAAATAGGCCACTCCAGGTTGGTAGCTCCCGGTAACAAGGCCCATTGATCCCTTCACGTAGTTTTCTTGTTGAAATCATTTTACTCAAGTCCAAAGGCTCAAACCACACCTATTTCTATCTAAATCTAAAAATACTAGTACCAATCAACTAGTATTACGGCTTAATAATATTCTTTTTCATTTATGAGAAGTCTCATTTTCGACTCACATAAATGGTGGGAATGTATAATATTTGTGTTGAGTTTGAAACTTATTTATGTCTAGCTTATTTTGTGGCTTAGTTGATCCTCCTCCAGATAGAGCAAAATATCTCTTTTCATAATTAGACTTGAATATTGTTGTATATAAAAAAAAATGCAAGGGCCAATTTTTTTTTTCTTGAGGGAAGGACCATGATTTTTTTTTAATTACTTGTACTGTATGTAGTTTTCTCTTCATTAGCAGATATTTAATTATCACTAGTTTTAAGTTTAGTGGTATTGATCTCCAATTGTAGGCACAAGATACTCGATTCAACTATTGTGAACTGGGAGACCACAATGACGTGCATATTGTGGAATTTAGTCCAATCTCTTTATTAATAAAACGCACATAAGCATTGCCCACGTGTCATGCAGTGAGTGAGTGGTTGAAAAAAGTACGACGGGAAAGAATGAGGATCCCGAAGATCCATCAATCACATTGTTCATCATATATCGTGCGGTCAGTTTTCGTCAAGTACTGTTTATATGTAATTTTAAATAAATGATTTAAAATGAATTTTGATCGTAAGATGTACAATGAATGGATGTGATTAGAGGATCCGGAGTGAATCCTCATTCCAACGGGAAAGAGAACAGATGAAGTTAGATAGCATTCATTTAGTAAAGAATAAATTGTAGCAATGATCTATCAACTTAAAATCCATTACTATTGGTCCCTCAACTCATCAAAATGTGTAGCTATGGTCATTTTCATCAACTTCGTCAAAATTTTGTCAAAATAAGTTATGTTAAAATGCACATTGCTACAATTGGGGTCCCTCAACTCATCAAAACATGTAGCTATTGTCCTTTTTCGTCAACTTTATTAGAATTTTGTCAAAATGAGTTATGTTGGAAGGACCATTGCTATAATTGAGTTAAAGTTGGGAGATCATTACTCTAATTCAGTTAAAGTTGAGGGATCATTTCTCCGTTTGAATTAAAGTTGAGGGACCAATGATAATGAATTTTTAATTAAAGAATCATAGCTACACGTTTTGATGAGTTGAGTGACCAATGGTAATGGATTTTTAGTTGAGGGGATATTGCTCCAATTGAGTTAAAGTTAAGAGACAATTGTTACAATTTACTTTTCAATAAATATTTTATTTTATTTTCTTTTGGGGTTAACAACGGGCTAAACGCCTAAAGGCCAATTAATCAAGCGAAACTAAGTAAAACATCATGTAGTATAGAATTCCAGCAGTGTTCGCCACTAACAAATATCAATAGCAGCAACTTGATCGAAATAAACGGCAGGAGT